CGAGCGCTCGGCGATCGAAAAGTGGCTCCAGACGAAGTCTACGTCGCCGAAATCGGGCGCGGAGATGGGCAAGACGCTCATGGACTCGACGTCGACGCGGACGCTCATCCAGTCCGCGATCGAGAACGGCGGCGTCGCCGACGACGCGGCGGCGACGTGGCACCTCGAGAGCGCCAAGCTCATAGCCGCGGGCGAGATGCCAGGCGCAATCTCTTCGGTGAAAGACCACCTCGAGCTCGCCGACGCGCGCTCGTCGTCGCCCGAGATCACGCTCTCTTTGAAGGCCGTGAATCTGAAACTTCAGCAGGACGCGCTCCTGAAAGAGGGCGCCGACGCGGGCGCCGGCGTCGTCGCTTCGGTCCTCGGTGGCGAAAAGACCGTCGCTTTTCCACCCATGCCCGCGTGGCGCGAACTCCGAGTCGGCAAATCCGTGATTCGCGTCATCGACGACCCGGTCGAGTTGGAGCGGCTGTGCAAGCGGCCGGCGCCCGGAGCCGATCGTCGCGTGATTTGGGATCCTTTGAAGGCGCGATGCTGCGGCAAATTTTGCGTCGTCACAGAGAATTGGTCTGGCGGCAAAGGCTATTACATTGCAAACCCCGACGGTGGTACAATTTGGTGCTTCCCCTTCGACGCCGTCTCCCTCGCGACGTACTAGCTCGATCGTCGACGACCGCCGCGACCAAGCCCGCGCGGACCCCTCGTTTGTAAGCTCCCAACCCGTCGTCCGCGCGGACGCCGCTAGACGAACTCGGGGAGGTCGGCGTCGTCCTCCGGGACGTCGGCCTTGGCGGCGCGGAGCTCGACGCCGCCGGCCGCGTCGCGCGCGGACGCGGTCTTGCGGTGGACGCGCCGGCCGTGGCGGTCGAGGTCGTACTCGAACCAGGCGGCGCCGACGACGAGGAGGCTGAGGCCGAGCCAGGTCATGCTCTCCATGAAGTACGTGAACAGCGTCGTGTCGATGTCGATGCCGAGCGCGCCCGTGCAGTTGCCCATGTCGAAGGCGCCGCCGCCGCCGCCGAGGCCCCCAAGGAGGCCGCCGGAGCCCGCGGCGCGCGGCGCGGGCGCGGGCGCGGGCGCGTCGCCGAGGGCGGCGGCCGCGGCCGCGGCGAAGTTGACGCTCCCGTTGCACTCCCACCGGTAGGACGCGCGGAGCCGCGACGTGTCGAGGATCCACCGCATGACGCCCGGCTCCGTGCCTGCGCGGAATTCAAATCTGCAACCCGACTTCAATGTGCGCGTATGCGACCGTTTCGACGCCATCTCTTCGGCCGTGCTTCGAGAACTCGACGAGAGCCATCGATTCGTCCAAAAGTCAGCCGAATCGACTTCGATTTGACCGAGCTAGAGAGTTCTGAAGTT